TTTTTTTTTCTTTTACAGCACTCTAAACAGAGTCACTCAAATGTGCAGGTGATTAAAACGAGACTGACGGGCGTGCAGAGCAGTCTGTGGAAAGAGAGACGGAGCTCCAGCTCTCCATTAGTTTAATTAAATTACCTTAATCTGATATAGGCTATTTCAAGTCATCACCCAATTATATATGCTCTTTTTGTTGGTGGCCCTGAGCACTGAAGTGTGTATTTATTTATTGCCTCCCTCCAGCCCAACACGCACACACACCCATAAACACACTCATTTGTGCAAGTCGAAAACTTCAGTTACATATGGAGTAGCTCTGACAGCCTTCCACTATCATATGCATTCATTTTTAATTAAAATCTACACTTAGGTGTTTCGCTGCAGAATATTTTATGCTCCCCGGAGACACTGGGTATTTCAGGGCTTAATTCATTTCTCCTCGTCACTCAGCCTCGATATTGGATGATGTTTCTACCTTTGCCGAACTTCTGTGAATGTTTTACTTTTCTATTTGGGAGTTAATGCATTTCTCCAAGGTCCACCAAATACAGTATTACCTTTAATGATCATTGATTTTGTGAGTTAAAAAGAAGAAGAAAGGAAGAAAGGAAATGAGAAAAAAAAGCACTCTTTTTGTGTGGCTTAGGATTAGGTTTGTGGATGTGGGATTTTTACGTAACTGTGCTAACACTGGTGGCCATAGATGGAGGACATCAAAGAGCCGGAGCTCCTAAAGTAATAGACATGCAAAAGATCTGTGACAACACAAGTGACAGCAAGCACTACTTAGCAGTCATGTTAATGACACAACAGTTAAATATTAAAGTTCATGCAAATGTCTATATAAGAGGAGCTTTCATTTATTCTACCTGCAAGCTTGTTTCAGAAGATGGCAGTTTGATACTTTTATGATGTATGTAAGAGTCTGCTCAGGTACGAGTGATGCAAATTTATGTAAATAGAAAGCTAGCTGCTGGATTACAAGGACACAAACTATGCATTTGTCCTTAACCGGAATAGAAAACACACTGCTCTGAAATGGTATCATGCCACTAGCAGTAATGAGCAAAAAGCAAAACTAGAGAGAAACCAACCGTGAGGGGAAAAGGAAGAGCTACCATCTATGGCCAACACCTACAAAAAAAAACCCCCACTTCCTTTTTGTGGGTTGCTATTCTGTTTCATCTCCTGTGCAGCTGTTGTCATTGGCATCAAAGCAGGTGAAATGGATTCACAATACTTTTTGCTTCCTAGCTGAGCAAATTGTCCCTGAACTTTAACTGGAATTGTGTTATACTGTGATGACCGAGTGCTCCCTTAATTCTTTTGATCGGTGCAGTATAGGGAAAATTGTCTCTCCGTTTGTGCACCCACGTGGAAGTACTAACCCAACTTTAACCCAAAGTTAGTTAGTTTTACTTTTCTCCAAAAATCTAACAGGGCTAGCACCTACAGCCTATGCCTCAGAGGGTTAACACCATCTTTGAATGTGAATGTGTGCGTGAATGGGTGGATGACTGGATGTGTAAAGCACTTTGGGGTCCTTAGGGACTAGTAAAGCGCTATACAAATACAGGCCATTTACCATTTCTTTGTACATTTTCACGTACAATGTTTAAGTGAATACTGCACCCATAAATTCACTCATATATTTTGAACATGTCTTAAAGGAAGCATTTTCTAAAAAGTGAGACTCAAGTTAACATCATCACACGGTCATCAAAAAGTTAATATTAATAGTGTTTTAGTTCTAGAAATCACAGTGAAGATTTTCATTAGAAGTGACCAGGATCGACAAGATTAGGTTTGGACACAGGGAGGAGGGGCAGAGGTTATATCGGAAAAAAGCTGTTGACGATGGAGCTGGCAGCTAAAGATGGATGCAGATAATCCACTGTGGTGACTTCTAATGGGAGCAGCCGAAAGAAGTTCGAGCAGTTGCATTTACCTTCAGAAGATTTTGTGAATTGTGTACATTTGTGAAGATTATCTTGCTGCACAAAACATGAAACTACTGTGAACTTCTTCATTTTATCCCTTGTTTCCTGCAGCACTCTATTAGCAAGATCATCATCATCTCCTGTTGTTTTCAGCTAATTAGTTAGCTGTTCTCTATAGCAATTTGTTTGTTGCAGTGACAAATCGGTGACAATGTCTATGTTTTAACACTTCCATATTAGTGTTAATAAGTATACTCTTTGGCTGCTAGCTAGCTGTTGTAGCTAGCTCCTGGTTTCAAAATGATATCAGTCATATCAGAAAAACACTTATTAATGTATGCATTACATCGTATATTGATCCTTGTGACTGATTTAACACTGAAATGCAATCAGTCCACTTTTAATACTTAATATTTTTTAAATGAAAATTCAGATGAGCTGAATAGCAGTAAACTGTAATGCTAAATGATTTCTCTACATATCATTTGCTTCTAAGAGCAGGCATATGCAGCTGGTGACAACCTGAATCATTGTTCCCTTTGACATATGATGCAATATTTCTATTCTGATGAAATTTGAAAATACCCCCCCATCCACAAGTGTGGTGGCTGTGAAAGATCAAATGCACTGCAGCTTAAGAAAGCATTTTTGGGGAGACATTACTGTGATCAGTAGCGGTTTTAGATACGGGCGACACGGGCGGTTGCCCGGGGCGGCATCGTGGTGGGGGCGGCATCGCGGCTCGTTCTCATGCTGCCCCGACATCATGCCAGCGCATATTGGGAATGGCATTGGTTTTCTATCGCCCATTTGCTGGG